CTCCTCCTCCTCCTTCTTCTCCTCTTACTTCTCCTCCTCCTCCTCCTCCTTCTTCCCTTCTTCTCCTCTTCCTTCTCCTTCTCCTCCTCCTCCTCCTTCTTCTCCTCCCCCTCCTCTTCCTCCTCCTCTTCCTCCTCCTCCCGCTTCTCTTCCTCCTCCTCCTCCTCCTCCTTCCTCTCAGATTTTGTGGCATATTTCTGTTCTCCACATGACAAAAACTGTATTACTTGTGTTTATTGTAGGAACATTTTGATTTAATAATAATATTCAGTGTCAAACTGATTAATGAGGTATTTTAGACAATGCGATCAAACAAAAAAGGACATGAAGGTTATTAGAATGAGAAACATTCTCAATAAATGACTTAATATTTCAAATAATATATAATAATATTTTATCTTATAATAATGACTTACTATCTTAAAATAATTACTCAGTATCTCAAACTAAAAAACTAAATAAACAAGTAATAAAATAACCAATAATACCAAAAATACCATATAATGACTTAGAATTTCATTAATTTGAGAAAGTTTCTCATTATAACGACTTAAAGGATCCTTATTCTCATCACATTGGCCGATATGGGTTTCCATAATGAGGAAACTGAGGAAATCAAACATACAACAGAACCTGTGAGAAGGTCCACGTGAGCTGAATGTGTAAACATGCAGAAACCACAGAAACTGTTGTAAGACACCGATTCATTCTCTGTTTATTATCATGTTTTAAATATCTGTTCAGGCAGTTTCAATTAATTTCAGACCAGGTTGTGACAGGATACGATAATCAGCCTTGGACCCATATATACATATATTTTACGATGGGTACTTAGACATAAATAGACAAAAGCAGCTTCTGTTGTTGTTAGCTTGTATCAGGTGTAATTAATTAGCTGTTCAACATTACCTCTTTGAGTTGCTTTAAAAACTAATTCTGCAAAATAATGTAAAGCTGTTTTAAAATAAATATGCCCATTATGGCTGCTGTACATGATATCATACTTAGATACTGAGTCCAAGGTAAAAAGGTAAAAAGTCAACACCTTCACCAGTTGATGATCTATGAGGAAGAAATGTTAATAAAAGATCAGCTTTATTTTTGTAAAAGAGTCCTAATTAGCAGCACTGGTGGTACAGAAAGGTTTGAATACTGACTCATGTAACGAGTTTGGTAAGTTCCCCAATCTAAATAAAGGGTCTGGTAAAAGCAGAAGTACTGATTCAACTTCTTTACTCAAGTAAAAGTGAGCAAGTACATCTGAAATGTGCTCAACGTATAAAAGTAAAAAGTGCTCTCTTGGTTTCTCTGAAGGTCATTTTGACCGGCTGGTTAGCTTCACTTCAAACAGTCTCCCACTCAGGTCTGTTTTGTCTTGTTATGTCTGTGATGTGTGATATAGACCAGTCTTTATGTTGGGAAGACGAGCAATGATGCATAAAATAAAAAGAAGTAAAATAAAAACATAATAATTCCCCTCAAATCCATTAAAACTGAAGTAATTAACCTGTTTAAAAATGAAAGGAGTAAAAAGCACAGATATATGAAACATCTAGGGGGTAAAAGTAAAAACTTTGAAACCTGAAGCAACTACTTAAAATAAAAATAAACTATAATAGTAATAGTAAAAATACACTGTAACAAAGTATTTGTACTCCATTACTTCCTTTACCTCTGGGTTCAGTTGATGAATAAAAAATGTTGCCATGTTCAAGCAGAAAGTTGAGGGAAATAAACACAAACCATGTCCATGCATCCATAAAGTTTAATATAAAGTTCCACAAAATAAAATGACAGGCATTCAAACCATTGCTGTACAAACACACGTCTCTTTACACATGCACAAAGAGAATTGATCCGACACGTTGGGATTCATAAATATCATTCCACACATCGAGAGCTAAGAGTCTGTAAAGTCCAGACGTCACTATATTTTAAACTCTACACTCGTGAGCACGATTCAATCACTGCTGATTGTTAGAGAGAAACTGAAGAAACAATGTACACAGACTTGCATTATCATACGCTAAGCAATGTTATAACTACAGCCAAGAAAAGATCAATTAATAACATGCACATTTCACACATTTTAAGTTGCATAAAATGCAATGCTGCTGATAAAAACATTTAGAGTATAATAAGAGCTAATAGTGTAAATCATTTCCCTCGGCTGTGGTGGCTTTAAAGAACAGGTTCAGATGTTTTCAACTCTACATTAACACTCACATGCTCATATATAAATATATATTAATAGTGTATAATAATATATATTAGCAGTTGTTGGTGTCATAATGTAATCATTCCTCGTATCCATATTGGCCCTTTATAACACAACTACACTGTAAAAGATGGAGGACAGACTCCACAGATCTGCGTTAAAATTACTTCTATAATTCAGCTGAAGTTCATATAAAGCTTTTCTAGAAATATGAGATAAAACAAATAACCTCATACGCTGTGTTATTCTCTTAAATCAGGATGTCTAATGCAGCTTTCATCCACCTGCAACCACTTTTTTTTGCATCTAAGCACTGATATTCATTATTTTTCCAGGTAGCTTTGCGTCCAGTATAGACTAGATTACGTTACGGTCACATTAGCCCTCTGTCCAACAAAACTGCCCTCAGCCTTGAAAATGATGCGAGGTCTGATCACAGACTGTAAACTGTGTGTGAAAGTGATGTTGTAGTTTAATAAAAGTCCAAAAAATAAAGTCAAACAAAGTTGAACTCTAAACTATAAATGTGCTGCAGGAGATCCAAAGAAACAGGAAACATGAGCTTGAATTAGTCTTCAGTTGAGGAGAGTGAGCGATGGAGCAGATGTAAATACCGTAAAACTTCAATTAAAAGCTGGTCTCTATTAGAGGCCTGGTCTGGATTTTATAGAAAATCTTTGGATGTATAAAACCTCTTAAAGCTTAATTATGCTGGTTTAAATAAATTATTTGAATATATTTCCATCTTTGCAGAACAAGAGGGAAAAGGAATTTAAGGCCTGTTCACAAATAAAGGCAGGTTGAGTTCAGTGACTGAAGCAAATAAAAGCCTGATCTGTTAATTGAAGTTTTACGGTAGGTTAGAAGTAGAGCTGGACGAAGTATCAAATTAATTTAAGCAATTTAAATGTTACTTTTCTGTGTGATGTGTAAAATGTCAACATGCTGGAAAGCGATTACAACAAGCAGAAAAAGGTTATTTTCAGTCAAACGCTAATATTAAAGCAACATTGTATAACTTTTCTACTTTAAAATATAATTTTGGTTTGTTTGTGTTTGTTGACGACACATCCGTCTGTCCACGTGAGCAGATTCTACTTATTTTCAGACATGTTAGCCTGGGTAGCTAACACAAGCCAGCAGACATCAGGCTGATGAATCAATGAGCAGCCGGTCTGATCTCTAACTGATCGTTAAAGTGGATATTAGCAGTGCTGTAGTCAAGGACACCAGAGTCAAGACCAAGACAGAAAAAATGCTTTTGCCATTGCCAATGAAAGCCAGGCATACGATTGCAAGTGACATTGATTGGCTGCCTGGTAACCATGATTAGGTAACCAGGTAAACATGGTTACTTGGTGGCCAATGTCAATGATCGTTCTAGATGGATTTTAAATTAAACTAATCATGTATTTCTGGACTCGGTCGAGACCACTTGGTATAATTGGCGAGACCAATGGCCAAGTTCGAGACAGAAAAGAAGCCTGTCTGGACTTGAGTTCTACAGCACTGGATGTTAGTGTTAAACCTAGTTGAAGCATGTGGTACTGACAGTCCATAGCTGTGTGGGATAACCTGTAATTACAGGTGTTGCAGGTACTCTGTTATTGTTGCTCTTTTTCGCACAAATATTCCTAAACTATAATGTTTTCAGTTGTTGTTAGTGTTAGTGTCGTATCTTATAGGGAAATCAATATTAACATATTGATTGTCCCCATGCTTGAAAACCTTTTTATCTGTCGATTGTAATCGCCCAGCCCTCCATGTGTAATATAATCGTACATTAAGACAAAAAAGTGTTTGAATGTTTCTGCCCAAAGAGGAACAGCCTCCAGGCAGCTCAAACTCAAATATTTCTTTCATAACTAAAGTTTGAATCTGTTTTTAAAGTCTCAGACATTTGGAGCAGCTGAGTCTGTGTCTTGGCACTAAAGATGTTTTTTCGCTTTTAGGTGTTTTATTGTTCAAACGATGGACAGAAATAATATCTTTCATGTATGTGTACAGTAGTTTCATGTTTGTGTGGTGTTAGGGCTCTCGGTCTGGCAGTTGAGTCAGGTAAGGATTAAAGAAGTCTCTCAGGAGGCTCTGCACCCGGGCGGGCTGAGGGCCTCCAGCAGCAGGGCCCAGTGCTGGATTCAGAGCCAGGTTCAGGACCTTTGTGGGGTTGAGAGCAGCAGACCGAGTCTGGGCAGTGTGGAGACCCTCGATGGCGCTGGACAGCCAGATGAGTCTCTTGAGACTCTGGATGTTTCGGCCGCGGTCGTGCATCAGCTGGTGTTCAGTCACAGCTCGGCGGCTGCAGGGAGGAGAAAGAGACAGAAACAGAGTCAGATTCAAAATACAAACCACCACTGAATTAATTTATTTATTTAATTAGTCCACTCAAAAATCTGTTTTTTTCTTCTTCCTACAGTTTAAAGTTTGATCTTCACTGTACAAAATGATGTCTGTGCAGTATGACTCTAGAAGGATTTTTCACATTCGTCCGCTGAAAGTTAAAAGTTTCTCTGAGCTAATGAAAAATGTTATTTTAAGGGGCGGGGCCTATGAACATGGTTTCATCACAAATAATTTGGAAGTCTGTCCTGGTCCAATTTACAACTTCTACAAGTGTGATGTACAAACTTGAAGCCTCCAGTGCCAGCCCTGTCTCCTAGAAAAGACATTTGTAGTCAATAGTTTCCATAATTACGTTGCAGTGACAGTGTAACACCTGCCAGGAGTTTTTGAAACACATTTATGTGACGTGGTGGAGTCACAAGGAGGTGGTTGGGGTGGGCTGTGGGCTTGTAAAGTGCAGGACTGTAACACAGGGTAAAGATCCTGATTTTGGTTATATGTTCTCATGTCTCAAGTTGCTGCTGACTTTTGAATAATGCTACAACTGAATGATATTGAAATATTTAGAAATACTTTGTCAGGGAACATCTTATTGATTCGTTCATTATCAACATTTTACGTTAGGTACGTTAATTAACATACATTTCTTTTTTATGTTAATAGAAAACGTAATTCGGTCTGCATTACGTTTCACTCTAAACATATTTCCATATTTCCACCCTTGCACAGACACTAAGAATGGACTTTACAGTAAAGTAGGAGATATCTTGTGTCCAACAGGAATATTTCACTAGAAATGAACAACATTTACATATTCATTTATCTGTATATATATTCTTTTATTTGTAATGAGGTAGAAGGAGTGGAAGCATTTTTAAGGATTTTGATGTGAAAATTAGACTTTTACACACACATTATTGTTCTGTATATGTTGACATATTTGTATATGTCGTAATACATGTCTCGAGGGGTCTTTAAATATTTAAATCTAAATCAGTCTGGTTTGAATTTTTCCTTGTAAATGTCTAGTTGGTAATTTCAAGTTGTGACATTTCACAAACATCAGCAGACATTGATTTAGGAACAGGACATTTTTTAGTCCAAATATAATTTTTAGTGGAGTATTCCTTTAAGCTATAGTTGATATGTTTGATATGTTGATATGTTCCTATCGCTGCATTTGTCAATGTCAATAATCAAAAATCATTAAAAATGTTGACTTCAGGCATCTCACCTCTCGTTCTGTTGACACCGGCCGGTTGTGAAGACGACAAGAAGCATGACAGCGAGCCACTGCACAGGTCTGTGGGACATCTGCATCTTCTGCAACAAAACAGCCAGAAACACTCACATCAGAACTCTTCATGTAAAAGAACAGAGAGCAAAAAAAACCAAGTCGTTTCTAGATTGACGTCAGCTGTTCAGGTAATCAGATCAGCTGCTCCAAATCTTTTGGTTAATTAAATATCAGCTTGCATTGTCCTACATTTACTGGTTGTGACCAGTTCAACTAAAGACTGATTTCCACTGTTACGTTTGAATGTTCTGAAGAAGTGAAAGCTTTCACAAAAAAAAAGAATAAATGATTATCTACAGTAGCAGATAAAAAAGTGGCTCTAAGCAGGAGCTCCTCACAATGCATATGGCCCAAAACAGACAATTGTCAGCCGCTTTGCTCCCATTTATCCTACTTTAAACCCTGTTTAGTGCCTAAAAAAGGGCTGCAAATCCACAGTGAATATACCCTATTGAATCTAAATATACTGGAATGTGCCAAAACAATACCAACCACGTGTCTTCAAGGTTGGTTTCTGCAGGGAAGTATTTTACTGCAGGAGGTTTTACATGTTTTTGATCATGTAAATGGATTTGTGAGCAATGTCAGCAGGATGTGAGGAGCTTTTATCCACTGTGTAGATACATGAACGTTACATGTTTTCATTTGGTTCAATAGGTGCCTGTTCCAAACAGGCTGATTGCTGGGCCTCTGGTATTTCAGAACCACTCATCCAAACTACCTCACCGTCGATACCACTCTCCTTGAGTCTTCAGCAATACACCCTCCAAGTGTGAAGTCAATCGGATGAATGGTTGTCGAGAAAATCTTTTGACAGACAGACAGACAGACAGAGACTCCTTCCATTTTAATTTAGATGGCCTAAATACTCAGTTATATTTGGGTCGTGAACACGACTGCCTGTCTGCAAACTGAATTTTTTCTCGCAGCAGAATCCAAACTGACCACAGTGGCGAAATACAAAGTATTCAGAGGTTTCTTCTTTCAAAAGGTAGATTTTGGTTGGAAGATCACTTAAAGGTCCAGTGTGTAACATTAAAGAGGATCTTTGGGCAGAAATAGAATATAATGTTCATAGTTATGTTTTCATTAGTGAATAATCACCTGAAAATAAGAACCGTTGTGTTTTTGTTACCTTAGAATGAGCTGTTTTTATCACGCCGCGGGTCGCCTTAGGTGGAGTCCGTCATGTTTCTACAGTAGCCCAGAAGGGACAAACCAAACGTTGGCTGAAGATGCCACTAAATCCGACACACTGGAATTTTAAAGTCAAATCCGTTTTTCTGCCTTAATTTAAAATTAATGTTGAATGTAATTCCAGTCAATCAAAGACTTCTGGCTGGAATTTTTCTGAAGTCAAATATAAACGTCTGCAGGTACACAGAGAAAGGTGTTGTAACTGTCGATTGATTCAACTCCTCAAAGCGGAAACAAAAAACTACAATAAGTCAAAATAACCACCTGAACGAATACGAATACGTATTTGTTAAATGGAAAACCATCACATGCACCTATAAAGGCTTTTTTTCAACTTTAACAGAAAAATGCACAAAGAATCACAAAGCAATTTCCCGCCCAAACAAACAATTGAGCATAAATCACCACATTTACAGAATAGAGCCACAGAAGTGTAACTAAAAAAACAAAACTAGAATAAAAACAAATCAAATTGAAATGAAATAAAATAAAAAATCACACTTTAAACTGCGTTAAGTGTTAAGTGATTCTCTTTCAAAGGTACTTACATTGTCCCTGTTGGTGACAGCAGCTCCTCTGATGATCAGACACTAAACTGACTTCAGGTTCGACCTCCAGACCTTTTATAAAGCCCCC